GCCCATCATAGTTTCAAATGTTAACAAAGCAACAGCATATCCCGTTAACAGAAACGTCAAAAGTCCTTGAGATGTGTTCTGTCTTTAATGCTAATAATTATTTTATGATCTCTCGATATTATTTTCTATTTTGAAAATATTCTTAAGCACACATGAGATCTTACTTCTCTCCAGGGAGTTACTTTTGTCTATCGATTAAAATTTTGAAGAGCTCATCGATTCCTCGGTAATTGATATTTTTTGTGATTTTTCAAGTTTGCTTTTTCGTTGATTGCTGTTAATCAATTTATTCCTTTTTCCTTCCTTATGGTGCATCGGACGTTGTTTGCTCCTTTTGAGGTGGTCACCATTGAAGTTTATCCTATATTTCGGATTCAATACAGTATAAATGTTCACTCATCCGAGATGAATTGCGTCTTTTAGAATTGCACAGCATTTATTATTATTATTATTTTAATTTTAGACTAATGAATTGAATTCTTAGACTAAAAAAAGAGACATTGAGCACTAGCAACACAGGCTATCGGCTCTAATTTAAATAAATGGATATTAGATAATAAGCTTAGTAGTATTAATAAAGTAAAATATTGAATTGATATTCTGTTCTGAAGCTGATTGTAGAATGTTCAAAGGGTTAATCGTTCCAAATGCAATACTTCTAGCCAAGGAAAAGTTGAGGCAGTCGCAGAGAATGTGCTTTATAGTAAGAGTTTGTCCACAACAGCAGATTGGGGGAGAAGACTTCTTCAGGATCCATTGGTGAGTTGCAATTGTATGACCAAGGCGAATTCTCGAAAATGTTTGGATCTTGGTTTTCTCAACATTTGTTGGATATAGAGGTGGAGTTAATTGAGGGTTAATGCAACAGTAGTGTTGATGATGGTATTGTAAATTTCCTTCTGCAATTTTCTCTTTAACTTTTCTTTCAATGCATCTTTGAAAATCCAACTTTTCCATGACATCATCCATAATTAGAGGAGCAGAAGCAGCATACTTTGCCGCTCGATCAGCCTGCTCATTTCCCAGTAAACCGATGTGACTTGGTACCCATAACATTTTAATTTTTCCGTCGGGTGTAGTAATTATATTCCTTAATTTGTTGATGGTGCTCCATCTCGAAGCCGAAGGGTTCCGGGTAGCTTGTAATACAGACAAACTGTCAGTAACAATGACGGTTTTGCACAGCATTTAAAAAATATAATTATTTCAAATTTTACATTTGTTTCATCCATTGCATATTTCTTTCAGAACTAATCGATATAGATATAGATATAGAATTCTATTATCACATTATAGCATTTATTCTAAATTTTTTTTTATTGCATTACATTTTACTGGTTTTACATAACCACTTTTTATAACGGACCTTTAAGCTTAAATTTTCTGAAACTCATCTCTATGATGATTCTTGCTTCGTGCCTTTATGATGGATTTGTTCTTCTGGTTTTTTTTTCGGTTACCGTTTTGATTTTGTTTCGTTCACTTATATTTTTATTCTGAATAATAAGAACACCATATTTCTAGATTTTTGAAGAATGAAAAGTGGTATTCTAGTCTTATAAGCTAAGAAGTAACGCAAACCTATGAAAATGCCTCGTTTTTTAAAATGGACTCTTCATTTCTATTTACTTGTGACCGCAAACATGGAACTAAAGAATTTCTGTGGAAATATTTCATTATTTCTATATATAGTGCAGTTCTCATTCAGATATTTCAGTTCCCAGGTCTCTAGAGCGACATTGGTTTGACAGCGATCAACCCATTACCCATTTTCGCATTTTTTCAACATTGGCGGGCCCGCCAAGCCTTGATACATCGATCTGAACAGGCGGTAATCAGAAGGCGCTACGACTGGTCAGTACGCTGGATGCAGCAGAATTTCATATTCGAGCTGCAGTAGCGTATCCTTGACAGCATATGCAGCTTGTGCAAATTGCTTTGTCATGCAAGAGGTTTGTTTATCCTTGTGGACGTCGGCGGATGATTATGAAGTGCACAAGACGTCATTTATAACATTTATAGCATGCGGTGAGATTTATATGCTTATTGTATACTTTCTGAATCGTAAATCCCGTAAGCTTAGTTTAACGGAAACGGAGGAAAAAATCGTTGCGATATAAAGGCCTGTTCTTCACAATTAATATTTTAGCATTTTCTCTTGCCGCTTATTGTTTTATAAGACATAACACAAAATGTGAAAGTGGAGGTCAGTAGGACTGTGCTTGAAGGTTGAACGTGCATTTTGTCCTAATATACTTTCTCTTTTGCAGTTTACACAATTTTTGCATTGTTTGAGTTCATAGTGGTTTTAATTAACATGGCCTATCATATGACTGCTATTGGGATTTTTAAGGCCTTTATATGTTGTATGATTGGCAGAGAGAATTGTACATGTCGCACGCATAACGAGTTATAAAAGCAACTTAACCTGGGAATTATGTGAATGTTTAAAAATAGTGGCAAATAATTTTTAAGTTTAAATTTATATACAGGAATGTTTAATTCTCCGCTCTTTTATTTCCCATTGAATAATGCGTCGAACTACAAAAACACAAGGACGAAAAGTATTTTGTTCAATTATGGCTTAAGTCCACGTGTTTAGAGCAATTTTTAAAATTATATTTTCCGTTTTCTTGAAGTTTTCATATTCTGAGGTAATAATCACTGCTTAATGGAATTATTCGTTTCTCATTGAATAGCGGGCCGAAAAGTCTTCTCTTAGCTATTAAAATTTCATGTGACATTAGGCCGCTTGTGCTTCCCAGATCTGAACCGCTCACATTATCTACGGATCTGTGGTGATCTTTTTATTTCGCCTTAATGATAATGGGACGATAGACGGCAAATTTAAACCGTATATTGCCGCCACGATTAAGTTTTAAATTGGGAATATTTAATTCAGGAAATATTTCTGGTCGTAATTGTTTAGGGTTTAGAGCTTTGTTAAGATCACCACCATGACAAGATTATCCGCTAAGTGAACCAAACATTAAGGATAGATATTCTGGTCTGGAAAAATTTTTCTTTAGTTTTTTAATACATTTCGTGGTTGGCTAGTTATAAGAGCATATGATTTCAATATATCTATCTGGCTTGCTAGGAATGTTTTTTGTACATATTTGTATGTGTTTTTATTTTTATCTAAAAAATAAGCAAAAGAATCTCGTTCAGCACGCAGAAGTATTAAAAACATTTAAGTATTTATAAAAATTTATTAAATATAAAAAAAAAAAAAAAATGATTTACATGTTTATGATTCTCTTATATACAATAATTTATAAATATATATGTGAAAAACTTAAAGTAATAAAAGGAAAGCAGTTTATTTATGTTATAACCAAATAAAATGAAAATGAAAATAATAATAAAAGAAAAAAAAAATAAGAAAAACTAACATGCGGCCTAAGTACTAGTGCGTATACATACTTGAGTGACAGATGAACACAACACACGAATACAATAATCATGAAAATAGATCCGGAAGCGTTTTATCTATTGGAACATTTTTCTATGCAAGATTTTATTTAAGCGACTATTCGTTTTAGAGAAGAACATTCATGGCATTCTTTCCTTATAAACAAAATTTACACCTTGTCTTGTTACACTCTCTGTAAAGAGATTCATCTTTCAAGCAAAAAAGAAAAAAGCAAAGAAATGGAAGCGTCGCCTTTGGTTTCTATAATTGAATTTTAGAAAAAAGAGAAGCCGTTGGGGAAAAATCTTAAGACAAACTATGGACATTACAAATTTTTTCTCTGCCGTCACATCTCGTTTCAAATATTTAACATTGATTTCACTACACTGGCATATTGATTTTGCGACATCCTTTTCATTTTTTACAAAAGTCACTATGCAACATTGAAATTCCTTATAGCTAGCAAGAAACAGTTACATCGTCTTTAAAAAAATCTCGGTGCCAACAAGTTCCGTAGCCTTACCAAAGATCAAAGCAAGCTCGTCTACGTATAAGACTATGACAGAATAACATGAGCGTTTGAAAATGCCTTGACTGTGAGCATAATGTTAAATGTCCAACAATACTATGGATTCAGGGTAAATTTTCGCTTTGATACTAGAGCGGCTCTGAATTTATGACAAGTGTATAACGGAAAACAAGTGGAGCATTCAGCTTGACGAAATCTACATTTATATATGGCTCCAGATCTGCCGCATTTAGAACAATTATTCACCTCTGGCGAGTTTGACAGCAAATTTGTACGAGGTTCCTCATCGGCTATCACGAGCATGCGGATGCATTTCAGGTTTATATTTGTATATCTCTCTTTTTGCATTTTCACAATAAAGCTTTGTAGCACAGATAATAACAAAAATAGTTAGACCATTGAGAGTTTAACGACGGTGGTTGGATTGCATACTTTCAATAAAGGGATTCCTTAATTAACGTAAAAACGGAGATTTCTTCTTTTTGTATATTTTTTCCATCAGTTGTTCTCTTCGAGAAGTTCCAGTGTTTACTTTTTTATTCATAATAAACACGCAAAGTTTTTTAAAAAGCTTCGAAATCGATGGAGGAGCTCCTATAGCTGGATTGACTCAATGTGACGGACGATATATAGTCATGCCAGACGGATGAACTCAACGTTTATTGGGAGAAGAGGATTGTACGGCTGTGCCTGAAGTTAACATGTGTCAAGCATAGAGTATGTCTTCTAGAGTTAAGTGCAATTTAATTGCCAACAGATTTGAATGAAATGTATTCAAACACAAATAGAAGCATCCAAGAATGCCTTACTTGAACAGGGAGGAGGATGTAGTCCTATACTGCGTAAAATACATTCTTTATATTTAGCAGAAGAAATATTGTCTAAAGAACCGGTTTCTTATGGAAGAGTTTATATTCGACAAGCACCAAAACTTAAATCTCGCGGTTTTCCACATCACCGTTGCCAATTATTTTAAATGGTTCGCCTACACCGTTATAAACTTAACTTAAAACTATAAAATAATGACGATAAATAAATAAAATCTTCATTTATACATAATATACTTACATAATACATAAATACATAATAAGTGTATGTATCTGTGATCTAAATAAAAAGTAAATACGATGGCTGCTGTGCGGTTGCTATTAACATCTTGATCTGCGGAAGAAAAATAATGTAATAACTAAATTTTATATATAAAATTGATCGCGAACTTACCGTTTGGCCTATGGCAGTCTTTCATTGTACTGAAGCAATAGTGCAGACGTTTTTATTTTTTTTTAAACTGAAATGAAATAAAAAGAAATGAATTTATTATACATAAAATTATATGAAGAATAAGCATAGTGTTTAATAAAAAGAGCCCAAAAATTGTAAAATATATATCACATCATATTTATCATATTAAAATCTTGCTTAGTTTTTACGAAATTTAGTGCATTAAAATCTGCCTTAACTTTAACTTTATCATTGACTGGTAAATGCATTTACAATTTCATATATTTCATTTATTGCCGAAGAGGCCCTTCAGAGATTCACAAACTTTTCCTGGGAATTTTGTTGGTGTCTCCTTATTTGCTAGTAATAATAATAATAATAATAATAGAATTAGCAGGTCCAGAATAAAAAAAAGCATTTTACAACATATAATGAGAATTCATATGGGCGACATTATAACAATAGGTATGTGTGCCGCCATATTAATTTATATTATATATCGCCATTACTTTTCTACATTCTTTGCGGTTTTTTTTGGCATACAAATTCTTCGCTTGCATTGGAATTCAAAAAATAGGCTTACTCTGTCCAGAATCGGTATGTGAAATTATTATTATGAACAATTCTTCAAGTGAATACCTGGGGTCATACAAAGAAGGGGATATTCACATATCTGTGGAGAGAAATTATCCGAATTTCTTATCCATGTCGGCAATGACGCTATATGTCTTCATCACTTTGGGGAAAGAAAATACTACTGATGCTTTTTCCTCTTTCTACTTCCGGCTCGTGGCATAAGTTTATAGCTTTTTTTATAGCTTATTTCTTTTACGTGTAACTTTAGTCAATCCTCATGTTCTTGCCTTGCTTTTGTTTTTCTTTGTCTTTTTTCTTATTACATTTATTAATCAATTTTATGCTCTAAAAGGTAAGATATTGCTCAATTCATTTCTATCGGCCGGGTGGCCTGAATATTTTAAAGGGGACGAGAAAATGATTTGTACGCAACGGATTCATAACTATCCGGGTTACATGTGATAATTAATGGAAAAAGGGAGCTGTAAAGATTTTTGAAAGCCATTTCCACAATGCAGTGGTTCAAATGATTTACCCGGCTGTTTACAAAAAAATATTTAAAGTCAAAAGTCTCTACTCTTTAACAAATAAACGTGTGAAGACAAGTTTTCAACATCTAGTGTATTTTTCTCAAAATTATAAGTTGGCATGTCTGCTAGAAACCGTTTGCGTTGTACCTTTTGAGTAAAAAGCAAAAATGGCGAAAAATAAAGGTGTTCACAGTTTTTGTTGCATAATCCTATGACCATTGCAGGCATGTCCTTAACAGCTTTGGACTATTCTCAGATACTTTTGCAAATTTGTAGGCGATGTCTTCATTTTTGCGAACAAAAGAATGTTTACAATAAATACTACACAATTGGGCAGACGGACGTGTTTAGATGCAGTCAGAACTTGAAACTGGCCAAGAAATTATATATTTCATGAGGTTTTTGAAGCTTGCTCCTGCCTGTTATAACACTATAATAATAGGTAGGCATATTTAATTTTTCTCATTTTTGTGCAGATACCACAGGATCGCCGAAGAACATACGTTCGTTTTATAGGTTTATCTAATGTGCTTTATGAGTAATGGGCAAGAGATCAATTTTTTAATCCTTTTGAAAAACAGAGACATTCTTACTTTACGTAGAAGTGCCCTTCGATCGCTTTGACCCACTTTCAAGACCAGCTTGCGTGCAAGAACATCCAATCTTTCTGCTAAATTTGAAGTCAATAGCTCCATTGTCGCGGCAGGGAGAATGTCTGCAATAGGCACTATACAGACGGGCAGAGGAACATGCTTAAATTGTCTCCGAATTTTATATTGATCAACAATATACATACTTTAGGTGGTCTATAAAGTTTTCTTCTGGACGTTGTAAGATGAATGTAGCCCTGTTCCTTGGGTGGTGGGTATAAAATTGATTTCTTTATTAAATTTAAGTAGCGAGACCAATGAGATATTACTGTTGTGTGCTTAAACATATCGTCATTACCAACAAGCACCATTGGGAGAAAAAGAGAAAGAGAGACCGCGATTAAAGATTATAGATGTTTAGAGAAATCAAAAACAAAAAATCATAATGAAAGTCGACAGACGAGAGTGGAATCATAGACTTATGTACATGAAACTTGTTGTCAAATCGAAGTCATTACGTATTAATTAATTAAAGTCGTGGGATTGGCTTGTAAATAGAAAACACAGTGACATTGTGCACGGGTTTCGTTACTTTCATAGTGAAAAATGTAAAAAGGTAAAAGAGCAAGAAAACCTTCGCTTTAAAAATTTAATATTAATCAGTTTCTTATATTTTCCTGAAATGCAAAAAATTATATCCGTATATTCAAACTTTTTAATATTTATTTCAAATTTCGATAGATTGAATCGAAATGGTCACCACACGTTCAAACTAGTACACATTGCAAAAGCCTTAAAAAAAATTAAGTTAACACAAACGCTCAGGACAAGAATGATAGCGGAAAAAAGGATGCAAGTCCAAAAAAACACGTTAGCTTTTCACTATGACCATGCTGATCGGTTTATCAAAAGGTAAGCTAGGCGTGTAAGTAATGCGTCGATGAATAAGCAAATAAATGTTTTTAATTTAGGTGAAAAAAAATGGTCGTACAACGAATTCTCTGGTCGTACAACGAATTCTCTGGTCTTACAACGAATTCTCTGGTCGTACAACAAACTTTTCTGGTCGTACAACGAATTCTCTGGTCGTACAACGAATTCTCTGGTCGTACAACGAGAATTACATTTTATTACAGTTAAAATGCAATCACGGATTCTTGTTTTTACTTGGAGATCAGGCGTATTTTATCCTTTATCAGATTTTTTAACGCTGTCACCAGTAATTCATGCGATTCTTTAAATACAGAGGCCACGTCACCAATTAAAGTGGCTTCTACTTCAGGTTTTAGTGACATATCTGCCATAAACGAATTTAAATCACGAGGCAATGCCAATCATCTAAGAAAAGAGAAAAAAAGAAAAACAATATCAATTATAGGTTCGACAAAGTTTCCAACTGTTTTATTAGGATACTATGATTATAAAAATCTTCAAATATTTCGATGGCAGAAAATTGGAAACTCGCCACTTAAGCAGAACTGTTTGGAAAATTTTGTTAAGCGTCATTTAAAAAAAATGTATAGCTTAGAATGGTCACTGAGATTGAAAATAGATAAGTTGAAAGTTTAATTAATTATTCCGGGATCTTGATGCTTCGATTCCAGGAATCAGTCAATGTTTTCGCTTATTGTTATTGATAAAATACTTACTTATTAGTTTATCACAGCGTTGGAATTCTCTTTTCAAAAGTCTCATTAATTCTATAAGCATTTGGCAGCGTTCCTTTTCGCTAATCACTAATTCAGTCTCGGAATTTGATTTCTTTTTCGGTTTAATTTTACTCGAAGTCTGTAGCTTTTCGTAAAGCGCTGTCGGTATGAAAGCGTACAGCGAGAGTATCTGGAAATAATTAAATATTTTTTTTTTTTCATTTTTTTTGATATATGTAAACACATACTTCCAAACTTGCTGCTATCTTGCTTTGCCATTCACGTCTACGCCATAGGCCATCTTTGAAAGATTCATCGCTTGCGGCGATAATATTACCGCAAAAATTTACAAGCTGGACAACATTATCGCATTGTAATTTGCATTGCAATGATAGATTACTGGCGCCGACATAGAATTGCATTACCAATTGAGCTAAATCGCTAAAGAATTTCTCATATGGCATTTCTAAGAGCAGATGCAAACATGTAGGCAGTAAATTGACTAGAAAACGATTCGGTAAAGGTTTCAAATTTTCGTTGCGCAAACGAAAAATTTTTCCATACTCCTCGTTAAAAAAAAGTTTCGGAAATCTTTTGAGATACGGGTTTACATAAATTTTATAAAGTGGTTATAGAGGTCAGTTGCATTAGTAAGCAACTTTAATCTATATATATATATCTATATATCTTCTTTAACACTAAACGCATTTCCAAATTCGTTTGCATTAAATAAATTAATTTCATTCTAAATTTCTTTTATAATAACGGCAGATTACAAAATTATATTGAGCTTTACCCGAATCTTTAATATCCGTCATCTATATTTTAAAATAGAACGTGCGAATATCTATTGCAGCTTATATGGGATTTAAACCGAGATATTCACACTCTTGTCTACTCTTTGTCTGGTGGACATGGCCTTTGACCGATTTGGCCCATTTTCAGCACCAAACTGCAGGTAGCAGTTTTTAGTGTTTCTGCCAAATTTGAAGCAGTTTAGGACAGATAAATATGGCAAGATGGATTCGAAATTTGGTGTTGATCAATAATACGTGCACATTTTATAGGTTCTCCGAAGTTTCTTTCAGCCAATGCCACGCCTATAAAAATTGTATAAAACTATTCAGGCGACGTACAAGGGGAGATGAATGCATATTTTTTATACATTTATATATACAAGATTATATATTATATTTCAAGAACTTGTATGAATATAGGGAAAGAATTAATATGAGATTTTCATTTTCCCCAGATAATCCCAGTTTATATATTACTAAGATAAATATCCTCCTCATTTATACTACGAGCTTTGGGTTTTTCCATTCCTTTAATGACTTTGCCGCTACGCGAATACTCTATATAATCTTCGGTTTGGGCCAACAGTAGCGATTTAAGTGGTGCTTGCAAATGTTTCACCGCCATACTTTTCCACAATATGTTCCTTCGTCTGAAAAAAAATAATTGCACGGTAAAACAAAGCTGTACAACGATACAAATTTTTAAGATAAAAAGAATAAAGTCATATAGCACTAGTAGAGGCACTGTTTTTGAGAGAACATCCCAATGGCTAATATATTCGTTATTATATTTTTTGGATCCCATAAGGTTAGTAGGAGATTTTCCAAAACAAACTCCAAAAGCCGCTACGTTGTGATTGAATAAACTAAATTGACCTTCGATTCTTACACTTGATTTGAATTGTTCCTTCTTTTTCTCGTATTCCTTTTGTAACAGCTCCAGCTTAGTAGGCTCAGTCAATAAATGAACATCGACCCCCTTACCATGAGCCTCTCATGCGAACAATTGAGCACCAGCGTGTTTTGTGTTGTCTCCGGTAAAGCGAACAAAATTTTCACCGTCAAACTCTGACCTGGAATTGCGTTATATGCTTGTTTAAAGGCCATACTGCATTTATAATCATAATAATACTTTAATACTTTAATACTTACTCTTCTGCTGATACTTGTGGGTTTGGATTGTCCCGCGTGGATCTGGTTTTGGAATCATAATAGGCCGAATTAGGATCCAAGTTACGGAGGTACTTGACGGTATCTTCACGTATACGTAAGTTGCGTACTGTAATACGTTGTTTTGAATCCACTTTAGTTCCTGGTATGTTCACTTCGTCAACTTATTTATCCTAGTTCCCATCATCATCAGATATTTCTGCATCAGGATCTAATTTAATAAACAGTTTTTGGCAATGTATATAGGAATAAAAGTTTCGGAGGTTTCTACTAACCATTCTTTAATTTTTCGGGTTTTAATTGCCGTTTAGTTTCTTCCACCTTCTCATATTCTTCTATAATTTCGCGATGATTTGCGGGATCGTAACTACTCCAACGATCTCTTTTCTCATCATAATTTACGGCTTCATCTTGCACAATATGTTCATCGTGAACGACTAAAGAATTCGCCTATCTTGCAAGAACTTTACGTGGTCTCTCCAAGCAATCCTTACGTTTATGATATTTGCCACTGCATTGCTCTAATAGGTGACAATAAAAAGTAATCAAACGAAGGTAAAGGTTTTGTCTTGTAGTCTATAAAGACAGCTTAATGAAATACCATCTTCAAGGTAACAATGCTGGTAAAGGCGAGGTCTTTGCCGAAGGTTTGCCTTCATTGCCGGACAATTTAACGCCAAACGAAGATGGAATTTGGGTTCCGTTAATTCTCTCTGTGGACAGCCAGAATCCTAGTCTTTCTGCCATCTTCTCGAAACTCCCTAATTTGCGTTTATTTTTGACTCGTATCTTATACTTGTTCGAGGCGCTATTTCGTGCATTCAATAATATTTACCCGAACAGGTTTTCGCAACGTTTTGTGCACTTCATTGGCCACGGCGAAAGTGTCTCTTTTATGATTCCGAAACGTTCTACGATTGTTCGTCTAGATTGGGATGGCAATATAGCAAAAGCAAAAATTGGGACTATCTATCTATCTATACATTAGAAATTTTAAAAAGTCAAAAGCCAAACGTGTCTTATGTCAATGTCAACTGTATAAACACGAAGGTAACGAGCTTTAACGAATACTTATTATTATATATATCTTTTCAGTTACAGCAAAGTAAGTGAACTTTTTAGGTTTAATTTTTCTTGCCTGTCTATCCTAAAAAAAATAGGATGATGAAGAAACATTTATTACTCAGCGAAATGATTTTGGTTACCGTAGCGCGGGATGGAGATTTGGATCGATTTAGATTTTTTTTAAATTGTAAATAAAGTCAAGTTCGATAGTGCACTATTCATCGCATATCTGTCCGTAACTACCTCGTAGTAGTTAACAAAAATGAAAGAAAAAGCCAACTTTTTCCCCTTAATTATATAACCAGCTTTCAAACTGATAAGTGCTTAATTATTGTTTATTAAAAATTGAAAAATATATATTTTATTGGCCAAGAGCTTTTTACGACAAATTCAACTCAAATTCGATATTTCTGGGTATTCTGGAAGCATGAGAACACGCAAAGACCGTTGAAAATTATTAATAACTAACGGGTATTAACCAGATTTGCAGAAAATGCCAGGAGACCTTGTCTTGCCTTAAAATGCTTCAGAAATTTTTTATATATACCATTTATTGGACTTATACTGGTCATAGACGTGCGTACGCTAAAAGCCTTATTGATGCAAGTCCAGATGGTTTCGGAATTGGAATGGGCTCCAATTCCATTTGCATTACGCAGAAAGTAATGACCTGCGGCTGCTCTAAGGCTACACCTATTTATCAAGTATTTAGATGAGCCAGAAGCTTGATTATATTTTACACCGTTCGAGTTTTCTTTGAGATTATGACACTGGTGGTGACATTAACGAAAAGTTTAACGAAGAATTAGAAGTTAATGCGATTAGGATGGCTGATGGTTGTGCTCCTGTAACCATTGTTTTCAAATCAGAGCAATGGTGGAATTATGGATACGTTAATTGACAATTGCTGGCGAATAGTTAAAATAATGATATTTACTGAACTATTCCAAATTCGGCGTTGAAGCTTGAAAATTTTATGATAAGACAATACACCCAGAGAAATAAAACCTCTTAATAATATAGATTTTCGATGCAGCAATTTAAAAAACTGAATCGAACTCAAACTTTTCACACTAACAGAATTGAACGCAAATTCGAAGCGTTGCAATTTATTGAAAGCATATCAGCCAAACGTAAAAATTGTATGGTTTCTTTTGGCAAATGTACTTAAAAAAATTTCCATAATAAAGCGTTTGTTTTTTTACATGATATTTTTATATATTATCTCAGATGCTTTCAAATTCAGAGTCACAAATTCAAACTCGCTTTTTCTATTCTTTCTCAATTGTAAACAAATTCAAACTCGCTTTTACTAAATAAAAAAGTCAAGGCACATATTTGCTGGGTGTACACGAATTTTATTTATTATGCCCATTTTTTAAACAATGTGCATTTAGAGATGTCCTTAGCGAGAAACTTTCTCTGCAAGTCTTACAAGAGAAAGGCTTTTGGCCAGTATGTATATGCATATGTGTTCGTAGTACGGACGCATATTTGAAACTTTTATCACATTCCGTACATTTATAGGGGCGAAGTTCTGAATGCACGCGCATATGTGTGCGCAGTTTGTCGGGTCTTTTAAAAGATTTACCGCATTCAAAACATTGATGAGGTTTTTCATCACTATGTATGACTCGATGCAACTTCATATCCTGTTGTCTCATAAATGCCTTCTCACACAAATCGCATTTATAAGGTCTTTCACCGGTGTGTTTTCGAGAATGCATACGCAGGCTGCTATGTGTTGTAAAAGACTGACCACAAAAGTTACATAAATGAAAGTCTTTCGATTTCGCAACTCTGTTCTGAGACCTTTGTTTTTCTGTTTTCGAATCGTTAGAATGTTTTTTTTTTACATGTTTTTGCAGATCTTCTTTGCGACAGTATTTCCTCGAACATAAATAGCATTCGAAATTCCTTACGCGTTCATTTTTTGGTTTAATATACCTTTCAGCGTATTCGGGACCATGTATAGTGGTCATGTGAATCTTTAAACAAGCTATTCGACTAGTTTTAAAGCCGCATAAAGCACAACGCAATTTTTCCTCATCATTCATATGAGTGTAGAACTTATGAGCCGCTAAGGTTTTAGAATTCTTGTAGATTTTATCACACAATTCGCAACGTACAGCCAAGTGCTGTTGAAATGCTGATCTATTATCTTTAATTTCTTTATTATTATCTTCATCCGTAGGCTTTATATGTTTTTCTTTTTCTTTATAAGTTTCATCTGAAGTACTTTGACTAAAATTTTCTTCTAACCCATTCGAACTGTAAATTCACATAAACACATAAAATGAATTGTCTTTTTATATCTTAGTCGAATTAGTACCTTTTTGTATCCTCATCATAATCCAATCTTAAAATAACATCTGACTGAGCGTATTCGTAACTGCCCGGTGGACCAACATCGTTTAGGTAATACTCATCATTTTTATCAATTTCCTCTTTTACATTTTCGATTAATTGCTCTTGCTTTGTTTCTTCTGATAGACTATCGAAGTGTGAAGGACTTTTAGATAACTGCCGCTCTGACTTAATATCTGCAATAATTTCTGTCTCTTGTGGCAAATCAATTGGTGGTTCTTGCAAACAGTCTTCGTTTTTCACAACAGTTTTTAAATTCCTTGCTTGATTCAAATATATTTCATGTAACTTTTCCGCCTCTAAGAGGAAAACGTAAATATTTTTTAATAAATTTGCACACTTGATACACAACCTTTGTGGCATAAGAGTTTCTTCTTCTAAAGAAGGCTTTATAGAAAACATCACATTAATTTGGATGCGTAGGATTCACATAAAAAAATACATACGTTACTTCTCAGCAAATTACTTAAAAGCTCTCCATAAGTCTTTGAAAGTCCTGTCTCCAGAGATATACGCTGATACAAAGAATATCTACTGATTTTTGCTTTAATGCATGTCCTGCATTTATGATGAATTTGTTTAGATTGCGTGGAAGGTAAAGACAATAATTCCATTTTATTTTCTTATTTATATTATTTACAGGTTTCTTTTTGTTTACAAAAATTTTTTTGAGAAAAAAAATGTTTACTCAAAATGATGTGAAGATGCTGCCAAATTTCCGCAAAAATCAAAACCAATCAGTTGTTTTTTTTGTTGAATAAGAATAAAAAGTTGTTATCGATAACTTTTAGGCTCAGCACTGATTTAACAAAGCAAATGAATATATAATAATATAATAAAATAATACGTTAAGGCAGGAAACAGTAACTGCGTTCTTAATTTTTTTGAACTTAATCAATTTCGCAAACAAAGGAAATAATTATCAGCATCCAATACAATGGCAACTGCTAAGGAAGATAAAGATGACGTAGACATGGTTTATACCAAAGAACTGAGAGCTGCTACAAAAGACGTACACAAGCTAAGCGATGTCCTGGTTAATGCGAAATTTGCTTTTGGTAGGTACAATGAAACAAATTTCATTTTCCTTTCCTGCTAAGTATCGACGTATATGTTTACTTATAAGCTCTGTCTGATGATACCGTCTGGGCTGATGGTCTATTAAGTTTCTACGAAATTTATAAATTTTTGGAAAACAATTTAACTGAAGAATTATTACCCAAAGAATTGCATCGCGTTAAAGAATTTGAGAAGGATTTCGACTACTTTCTTGGTGAAAATTGGCGGGACACCTATGAAATTCGACCAGCCGTCAAAAAATATTTAGAACATTTGCACGAAGTGAACAAGAAAAGCAAAATATTACTTTTTGCTTATGCTTATCAAATGTACATGGCTCTAATGTCTGGCGGTCAATTGTTGCAAAAGAAACGTATGATGGCACGTAAATTGTGGCCTGATAAGCAAGAAAATATTCAGGAGCAAATTGATTCGGAAAAGCCTAGCAATCCGGATGATTTAACCACGCGCCCAATGCCTTTGCAAGTACCCATATGTCCTGACGGTTGTGCGGCAACATATTTTCCCGAAAAAATTTCTGATCTTAAGGCTAAATTACGCACCATACTTAACAAACATTACGGTAATTTTGATGAGGAAACAAAGGCAGATTTCATAGAAGAAAGTCGCAATGTATTTATATACAATAGTGACGTCGTGCGTTCGGTTAAAGGTGTTAATCGAGCTAATATTAGGAAACTGGCCATTGTCGTCTTATTCTTTGTTAGCATTTATTTTGCAATTAAATTAGCAAGACATTAAACAAAGAATTATAAAAATATGAGGATTAATAAAATGTAACAATTAAAAAAAAGAGAACTTGCAAAAAATTTCTGCCAGAGTGTGGTTATGAACGCGGGAATGGGAATGTCGTATCACTTCGGACTGTTCGTCGACCTTTATTAAGTACCAATTTACCAAGAAGAACTTTTCTGAAGGTTCTTTTGCTTAGAACAGTTAATTTGCGGAAGGAGAAAAACTTCACTTCTCCCGAAAGTGGAGAAATATAGTTTGGAACAACGAAACAAAAATAAATTTGTTTGCAAATGATGCGTGAAGAAATTTTGACCAAAAAACATTAAAGCATGATGGAGGAAATCAAATGGTACGGGGCTCTTTTTCTTCGGAGGTTGTCGGTCTGCTACATCTCAGAAAATGGTTTTGTGTTTAAAAACTGGTTGCGAACTGTAATGTTATTGCATGCTGAAGAAAATATGCCTCTGCTATGGAAATTTTAACAGGATAATGATCTGAAAAATTCTTCCAATTTAGTGATAGCGTAGTATCAGGAGCGTAACTTAGATGCCAATTGATGACCAAGTCACTCCTGTAGCAATACAAGAAGAATACATAAAAGAATAGAAGCTGTCCTTAAATACGGCTCTTTGCTGTCTGAATTTATTTCTATAAATATGATTACCTTTTAGTACAAAATATTGCGTTATTTTTAAGTTAAGAACTGTCCAGTTGGGAACATGTGATATTTTTGGAACTAAACTCCTTTTAAGTTCTTGTTTATAGTTAATACAACTCAAACAATTTTTAAATACGGAAATTTAGGAACAGTAAATTTACATATGTAACAGGAGCAATATGGAAAAAAATACCACCCACCAACAAAAACCATATACATCTATTTTTCTGTTCACTTTTGTATGTTATAATACAAATACCCCTTAACGAAAAGTTTAATGAATCATGTGCAATATATATATAAATCATATGTAGTAATTTATAGTCACCTCCAACAATTATTTATTACAAAAACACTACAAATTTGAACTTTTTGCCAAATAAGTATGGTAGTTTACATATCATTATTACATATTAGAGTCCTGCACGCCTTGCAAAGAATTGAAAATTATTTGATGTATATACTTGAATTCTTATTTTTCGGGCTTTAAGATCATTTAATTAACAAATAATGCCATTGTACGCCAAAAGTTAGCCCCATGGCATGACTTCAGCATAAAAATCTTTACTTTTACATTTGAGCCAATAGCCAACACTTTGCTATTATTATTAAAGTCAGATTTCATCTTAACGTTTCTTAATGTTTATGGAAAATTTTATCTTCTTAATAAAAATAACTTTACAAAATTTGTTTATTCAAATTATTATTATTATTGAAATACATTAATTGAAATGCAAAATTGATACTTTGACGCGCGTAGCACTGCATACTTTTGAATTTCTACGATTATCGGAGTCGTTTTTGCTTCTATTGCCTCTCCTTCCGCGACGAATGCGTCACATACTATCGTCTCTCCACGCTCGTTTTTTCACTTTTCAGTATGTAATAAAAATTTGGAAATATTTACTAATGGAAGTTATATTAAATTAACATATAAACACTCACCTAAAGACATCCTGACGCTTGCTTTTTTACCATTAGTCAATGCTGCTGCTTGTGACAACTTCTTTTTGAAAAAGAACTTTCTTGAAAATTTAGCGCCTATGTAACGTCAGTAATAAACGCTCTCCTAGACACAATTTTTTTTTTATAACATTTCTATTTTTAGCTTCAACTTCAACTTCATAATTGACTTGTAAGTGAATTTTATTGAATTGAATATATATAAAAGAAAGACTATACAAAATAACTAGACATATGCATCATGCGTTACGTACACAAAATTTACATTTATAATATATGTATATAGTTGAAGTGCTGGAAGAAGCAAATCAGTAAATTTGATATAGGAAAAATTGTTTAATAAGAGAAGTGATTATAAAGATTATAAACGCATTCTTTCTGTGTTGTTTGATACCAACTAATTGGGATCAGCATGTTCACAAGAACTAAGGCAGATAATGGAAATTTTGCCAAAACTTTTCTTAATGAATTTGAAATTCGTAGTTAAAAACTTTTGTACATCATCTTGTACACGGATTTAAAGGTTTCCTGCACGTCTTCCTTCAAAAAATCTGCTTTGAGATATTTGTACGATAGTATGCGGCTATCATATTTATTCTTCGTCACAATTCGGCCGCTTACTTTTTTGCATGCTCTTCTTTTGGTAATCCCTTATATATTTGCCTACAGTATACCACGTCATGAGCCTGAAATATGCTGTGTGCTATGGTGTTTGTCGGCGAGCTCTTATGTTTTCATAAGCTACGCCATCCAGGCCGAATGGACGAAACTCTTCTTTGGCCTGTTTTGGGATTCGGTAGTCTAATGTTTCAATTAGTTGGCAGTCGCCGAACGTAGATTGTTCTTGGCTCCAGTATTTTATCTGTTTCCTGATCAAGCGCTGTGCCACATGCTATATCGGCTGACGGCCTTGTTCTTTTCCTAAAATGCGGAGCCATATTACAGCCAAATCTTTCAATAATATCTTAGCTTACCCTGCAAGAGAACTGTCAGGGTTAGCCTGTAGTATATCTTCTATTATTTTTATGCAGTTGATTATGGAGAATCTGTATGCTTCTCTTAATTGGGCTTTCAGCTTCCCCCAAGTTAATGTTTTGATCGTTTTTCTCTGAAAATCGTTGATAATTTGGTTGCCGCCTATATACTCTTGTATGGTCGCTCCACCATCGGACCGCTGATTATCTCTTCGTTGATAGCCAATTTTATAAATGCTGGCGTCACGTCGGCGTAGTAGGCGATATATTCCGAATAAAAGCAAGGCGCGACCACCGACGATAATAACCCTCTATCAATCAGAAGTTGCATGACGCGGCGTTTGCATCTTCAAAGTAACTTTTTTTTTTGATTTGGTGTAATTTTGGAGTCGTAAGATCTTGCTGTTTTCCATATTCTTGTAAGGCCTTTGCGAGATGAATATAGTCGTATATGAGACGGATTTTAATTATTCTTCCCTCTTTGTTCTTTTTGCAGTAGATGCCGTTGTTGAAGCATTCCATCATTTTTCGGTTTTGCGAGGATCTGTCGCAAATGACTGCCTTTACGTCGAATTCCATGTTCTTTGTCAAGTCTATCCATTAATCTTTGGCCTCCATGGCTCTTGACGAAGGCATGTGTGCCATGTTGAACGGCGTCAACATGCTACGCACTCCGAATAAAGATACTGTGTAATCGCATAACAATAATATTGAATATTGCATCTAAACTATTATTTTTTTTCGAAGTCCTCTCTCCTCTTATTAAAGATAAAATAAAAACAAAGGCAAAAGAAATTTTAAAAAGAGTTCCCGCTGTGGACACTTAAAATCGCTTTATATCAAAATCAAATCATAATCTCAAATTTTGTACCTATGCTTGATGAGTACCAAGTTACAAGAGGTATGCTGTAGATATTTTTGCTGGCTCTCTTTTTTTTGCGAATTGGCAGCACATTCATACAATTTTTGGGGAAACAATCGTTGTCTGCAAAAAATTTTTACAAATAAAAAGAAAACTATAAACAATACTAGTAGTAGTAAAATGGAATCATCTTTACCTTCCATGCAATCAAAACCAGCTAATAATAAATGCAGGACATGTACTAAAGCGAAAGTCAGTCGGCATTCCTTGTATCAGCATATATCCCCGGACAGAGAACTTTCAAAAACCTATGGAGAGCTTTTAAGTTGTTTGCTGAGAAGTAACGTATGTATTTTTTTTGTGTGAATCCTATGCATCCGGATTAATGTAATGTTTTCTATAAAGCCTTCTTTGGAAGAAGAAACTTTCATGCCACAAAGATTGTGCATCAAATGTGCGAATTTACTAAAAGATATTTACGTTTTCATCTTAAAGGCGGAAAAATTGCACGGAATATATTTGAATCAAGCAAGGAGTTTAAAAATTATTATAAAAAATGAAGACTGCTTGGAAGAACTACCAATTGATGTGGCATTAGTGCCGGAAACTGGTGCAGATTTCAAAACAGAACCGCCGGAGATTATTGTGGGCATAGGGACAGAACCGCAGTTATCTAAATGTCTTTCAAGCTTCGATGGTCTAACAGAAGAAACAAAGCAAGAACAGCTAACGGAAAATGTGAAAAAGGAAATTAAGAGGTGATCATGAAGAGGATGCAAAAGGGTACTGAATTAAAGTGAGTTTCAACAAGACAAATCATTCATTTCGTATATCTTTTCACAGTTCGAACGGCTTAGAAGAACAAACTCAAGGTGACCTTTATAAAGTAAAAAAAATATATATAAATATATATCAGGATAGTAATAAAGAAATTAAAGATAATAGAGCAGCGTTTCAACAGCACGTGGCTTTACGTTGCGAATTGTGTGATAAAATCTACAAGAATTCTAAGACTCTAGCTGCTCATAAGTTCCTTAGTCACATTAATGATGAGGAAAAGTTATGTTGTGCTTTATGTGGCTTTAAAACTAGTCGAATAGCCTGTTTAAAGATTCACATGACCACTGTACATGGACCCAAATATCCTGAAAGATCTTTTAAACCAAAAAATGAACGCATAAGAAATTTCGGATGCCATTTATGTTCAAAGAAATATTGCCGTAAAGAAGATCTACAGAAACATGTGAAGAAAAAACATTTCGTTGATTTGAAAACGCAAAAACAGGAGCTTCAGACCGGAGTTGGAAAATCAAAAGACTTTTATTTATGTAATTTTTGTGGTCAATCGTATACAACACACAACAACTTACAAATGCACTCTCGTAAATACACCGGTGAAAGACCTTACAAATGTCATTTAGGTGAGAAGGCGTTCATTAGACAACAAGATATGCATCGGGTATTGCATCGGGTCATACATAGCGATGAAAAACCTCATCAATGTTTTGAATGCGGCAAATCTTTTAAAAGACCCGACAAACTTCGCGACCATATACGAGTACATTCAGAACTTCGTCCCTATAAATGCATAGAATGTAATAAAAGTTTCAAACATGCGTTCGTGCTACGAACACATATGCATATACATACTGGTCAAAAGCCATTCTCTTGCAAAACCTGCGAAGAAAGTTTCTCACTAAAGACATCTCTAAATGCTCACTGTTTAAAAAACGACCACAAAAAATAAAACTTGTGCACATCCAACATGCGAAAATCTACGGTAAACAATGTCTATGTAACGCAGATTCCGCTGACTCCATATTATAGAGCATGAGAATTTTCGTCTTCTATTTTTTTTATTCTTTTTTAGGATTATGCTGATGGGTATGAAAGATTCGGTCAGGACCGAATATAATTTTCTTGTTCTCTGATATATAACAGAGAAATGTGAAGAAGAAGAAAAAAAAAATTGGATAAGATTAAATTGAAAATATAAATATTTTGGAGCATTTTTGAATATGGCGAATGAAGAAGATCGACCACCTGAAGCTACACTGTATTTTTCCAGCAGTCACAAATTCTGGACTCAAAGCCGAAACTTACGACGTCGTTAATGATTCTGTGATTTGTATTATATTTAAGGACAATTTCTACCTAATTAGATTTACAAAAGAGTGGTATTAGTAACTATTTTAAAATGGTAATCAATGATTAAAATATCTGCTTTTATCTGTTTTATCAGCATCATTGAACAACAATTGAAGCCACAATTACCTGCATGTTTTTATGTCTTTTATGTCTTGACATTTAACAGATATTGTTACGACTGCTCTGCCATTAACAGAGTTTCTTACGACCGCTTTGCCACTTTAACAGAGTTTGCTACGACCGCGTTGCCACAGTTTTTTTTTATTTTGGTGTAAAAGAAAAAGCCAGCTAACGGTTTCAAACGAAATTTTACAAGTGCAGGAGGAAGTTTGCTAAATCAGAAAAATTGTTAAATAAAAAAAGTGATTCCGCACAAGAATTATACAAAACAATTATACAAAAAATAGCAAAATATAAAAAAAATAATATTATAAAAGAATAAACTTCCGTGTTGTGTTAAAAATTTGTACTTTGTTATAAGGCTAAGATTTTTTAGGTTTTTATTCTTAACTTCAACTTCATCATTGACTTGTAAGTGCATTTTATAAGTTAATATATTTAATTTTTTGATTAGGAGATCTTTCAAAGCAATTTCAAGCAATTTTGCTTGCCTCCATTTCAACTACTGCCGCATTTTTGCAGATGACACAACTTTATTTTTTTTTATAATTAATATGCCCTTTGAAAATCGATGAATAATAATATTTTATTTATTATATCTATATATTTATCATATCTACTTGTAGTCATTTAGTCAGTAAATTGCGATATGCAGGTTGACCGCAAGACATACAGACCGAAAAGTTGTAATCAATCCAAATCGGCCAGTATAACAACAGATGGGTCGATCTCAGATCATATCGGTTGTTGTGTGCATCCGCACAAACTTAATATATCCTTGCCTCGCAAATCGTGTGGGGTGTAATAAGAGACAGACGCTATCGGTACATTTTCGAAAATTTATCCTACACTGCCGAAGTAGAAAGTAGGAGAAACATGTGAAATTTACTTTTGTTCTGATAATTTTCGCTAATAGTCTTCATCTGAAGTAAATATCAATCGAGACAGTTCTTTTCAAAGTCAAGTTGCCCTTATAGCCGGTCACCAAGTGATGATGCGTTAGGAAACGAGAAGAATTGAAATAATCTACATCTGATTTTTGTTTTCCATCAACCTCAGCGCTTGTGGTAAGTCTGTTTAATTGTAGCGATACTACGAAATTTTATTTACAGAAGCAATCCGGCTTCTTTTGCATTTATGCTATTTTGAAATTTTTACGTAACACTTGGAAATTGAGTGAAAAAATGACGAATTTGTTGGTAGTGGGATTTATTAGTAGAAATGGACTAATATTTAATGGAAATTATACCCTACACCGCTTGTGTTACAGGGTATAGAAGGGTTTAAGATAGAGCCACCTCTTATTATACCCGTCGATTTAGGAGATGATTCTGAAGTCTGTCTGTCCAACGTATTTGTCTGATTTGATATCTGCCACACTATTTGTCTGTTCAAATTCTGAAATTGGTGAAGTTTGGTACAACGCCATATTTTGACGAACGCTGACGTTTGTTTTCCAAATATTGACTGCAAAAACGCTTTCATGAGTTCAAATCAAATAAGAATGCCATGACTTTCAATAAGTCAATGAAAAGCTTATTTTTTAAAAAAAGATTGCCTGGTTTTTGATAGAACATTCAATTCTGCGTATTCGACCATCAAACAATATTCAATATTTGTTTTAAAATCCTGCCCCTATTTCACTACCTGTAGGCATGTGGATTTCTAGAATCAAATTTACACTAGGTATCCTGCTTGCGAAGATACCTCGCGAAAACTGCGCCGGTGTTACTAAAAAAAAAATTTTTCTTCCACAAATAATGAAGCAAGCATATATGAGTGTTATTATAATCATTCCTATTATTGTGGTGCATCCCACCACAACCAGTACTAAAATGCTCCAATTTTTTCTTTCCTTTGAATAGTCGAATTCATATCTTTTTCAAAGCTTTCACTTAACTTTTGAAGTCTCTATTATAAAAAATTTTTTTATTGAAAAGCCAACAAGGTGCATACAAATACTTTCTTTTAAATTCAGAATATAGACGATGGTTAACCGGCCTTGTTGTAATTAACAAAATTCTTAAAAGTCTTTATATTTTGGTAGGAGATGGCCGATATCGCCAGATAGTAGTTTTTCCACTTGTTATACACACCACGTAGTACAAGATATATTAAGTTTGATGAAATGTATACAACACCCAGAAGGACTTAGGATTTAAGAACCATCTTTTATTGTACCGATAGAATCGACCTTTCACGTTCCATATAGGTCTAAGCTTGTTCGTCGGTCGATCTGCCGGCCTGATGTCTATCCATGTATTCTGTGTTCAATTGTTAGGTCGTAAGTACTATCGAAAGTGTTTCGGATGGGAGCACTTCCTGCACCACTTTCCCTTATTTCGAAAATTCGTGATATGAAATATTATTGCAAATTTTAGAATTTCGCAAGCAAACACCGCTAACAATGTTTTCGTATGTTAAATTTGAGATGAAGAATTTGGATAAGATAGGGCGTTTTTTGAATCTCCTTCCATATAATCGCTACTATGGAAACTGCATGGTAAGAATAGTAAGAATAACTAACGATTGATGAATAGCTTTTCACGGTTCCATATTTCGTGAAAAGTATGCCTTAACATAAAAATCATACGTATTATTAAGTAGTGTAGAGTACTGAAAGGTCAACCTTGCCCGACTACAATGTACTTTCGTTTTATAATGAAACATTTCTCACTTTTGTTAGTCGGCGTACATATTTTTATTTTATAAAAATCAATTGCAAATTTTAACTTTCTTATATGTAATTACTTTTAAAAATTATATTAATTCTTGTAGGTGTATAAGTAGATTTAAACAAGTATGAAAATCATATTCGGTCACAACCTAATCTTTTATACCCATCAACGTTATCCTAACAAAGATAAAAAGGTAAAAGAACTAAATTTTCATGCTCTATAATATGGAGTGGGCACAGCTGATTTTTTCTGTTCTCAAAATAAAAAGTTCTATCGCATATGCGCGTAGGCGTTAAGGCGCGCCTTTCGAAAAGCTTAAGTCACTTCCAAATTGTTGTAGAAAATTACAGGCGTTGTCTTCATTTTCGTTAAAAGGGGAATACTACACAATTGCGAAGAGAGACAGATGGACAGACGGACATGCTTAGGCGTATTCCCAAACTGAAACTGACCAAGACTTTATATACTTTATGCGGTTTTTAAAGCAAGTTTCTCTGCCTTATATTGAAAAAAGAACTCAATTTTCATACACCATAAAATTGGGTAGGTGCGGTCAATTTTTTCCATTTTTGAACAGATACTACAGTATCACCCACAGCATATACGGTCAATTGTTTATACATTTATCTGCTGTAGTTTATGAGTAATAGCCTATTTTCAGTACAAACCTACGTGCAAGAATTGCCAATGTTTCTGCCACATTTGAAGTTGATAGCTTCATTTTTGCAGCCAGAAGAATATTTACAGAACGCCTTTACATAGGTGGACAGACGGACATGTTAAAATCGATTTAGAATTTAATGCTGATCAAGAATGTACACAAATTGTGGGGTGTCTGATGCTTCCTTCTGGGCGTTGCACACATTTCGACAAAATGAACCTTTGAATCTTTCGGTGATGGGTATAAAAATATCAAAAATAAAGTTATTTACATAAAAAAATATTTTATTTGTCCTTCCTTATTTCTATAACAGAAGAATAGAAATACGTGTGACTGAAGCAATTAAAAACCGTAAGGAGCGCGATCGTCTGTCTAGTGTAGAAAAGTTTTTAGTCACAGAAATTAAAGTAGAAAGCCCCACGCTCGGAATGAATATTTTTAACTGATGACCGCATTCTATACTTAAAAATGGAAACAGCTCACACGCCAATAATGGGCAAAAAACTGTCAAGTATAATCTGAAGCAATCCCTACAAAGCATTTTGATCTAATTTACTTTAAATTGTTATGAGAGACATCAAAACGTTCAGCGCCGCTGTTAAACAAACTAAGTGATTTCACGGGCCCACAATCATTAATATATACTTTACGGTGTCCAAGACGTGACTTCTTGTTTAAATTTTTATTAAAGTTTATAAGAAACATAAGTTGAGAGATATATATAAAAAAATAACAATGTGAATACACATTCCACGACACAATATCAATTTAAGGCACTTGATACAACGACATACAAAACTTTTGAATAAGAAATGTAACTTTACATAAAAAAATTATAATTGACTTATGCTATAAAAACCTTTACAATTTTGACATTTTATTTTATTCCCCCTGTCGGTTCGATTCGTTGGCAGAAGAGTGAAATACGTCTTTGTCGCAATTTCTTCACGTTTAAGTCGAAGATATTCAAAATTTAAGTTCTCCCTATATTGCTTATGGCAATATTTAAATATATGGAATAATACCGATTCCGTTGTCAAAATCATTTCAAGTATACTTTCTATCCGTCCACCGTACTTTTCAATAAAAGAGTTAGTCAACCTTAGTAGAAAACGGACAGTTTCCTCAGATAAATTTGAACAAAGATATTCTATTAATTCAGTCAATTTAGGTGAATCGACAATGTGCTGATTAAAGTGTTGTCCAAATTCGCTGAGGGAAATCATTGCACCATTTTCTTGAATAGTAAAAGAACTTGTGTTTTCGGAGTCAGCATTGTGATCCTCGATTTTCGATGCATTGTCCGGTGTGGATTGTATTATAGATTGTAATGAATTGGAGCCATTTTGACGCTCAGTTCCACCTGAACCTACGTTCAAGTCGTTATTCAACAATATGTCATTTCTTCGCAACGACGGCCTTTCTGTATTTGTATTAATGTTTGGTTTTGACTGCTTTTTGGACTTAAGTAGTTCTTTCAGATTTTCTTTGTCAGGTATGTCATTAATATTTTGAAAATTCTTTTTATTCGTGATATACCTGCGAACGTTTGTTATAATTTCATCAATTTTACTTGGATCGTGCTCAATATCATCATTAAAGTTCGTATACCAGTATTTAAATATCCGAAAAAGAATCGATTCTGTAGTGACAGCTACTCTTACTTCGAAATTCAAATTCTGACAATGGTCAACGAATCTTCTGGTCGTATTAAACAGAAAGCGAACAGTTTTCTCGGAAAAGTTCAAACAGAGAAATTCTGTTATACGATATAATGCATTTCGATCGAGAATGTTAATTAAAAATTTGACCCCGAACTCTTTAAAGAAAATATATGCACCATTTTCGGCAACTATGAAGAAATCGGGAAATTCTTCATTTGGATTATGTAGAGAAGGCAAATCCGGTTCAATTTCGGTTGAGTGAGCTTTTTTAGTTATAGTGGAATCAGGAGAATTCTTATCTGGCTTAGAGGGCGGCAATGATTTTTTTCTAATAGGTTCAAATTTGGTGGATTGAATTTTTTTGCTCCATTTGATTAACCCGTCGAGATGGCTTAAAATTTCTTTCGATTTAGGCAGAAAATACTGAAAATCTTTATCTTCTCCTAATTTGTTGTGACAATATTTTAGTACACGAAAAAGAATAGATTCTGTACTGGTACATTTTTGGGAAACCATTTCACAATCAGGTAATCTTTCAATATATGTTTTTGTCAAATTCATTAGAAAACGTATAACGTTCTCGGTAAACTTCATCTCAATAAAGCCTTTTAATTCATTCCATTCTTTCACATCGTAGATATTTTTGTGAAACTGACTCCCGAGTTTAAGGCAAATTCTTGCACCATTCACTAATAGAAGCAAGGTATCGGAGTTCGGATTTGGGGTCGGCATTGGGTTAGGTGCAGTGAGACTAACTTTGGCTGTTGCTGATATAGTTTCTGGGATTGGTTTTACTACAGACTTAAGCACATTAGGCCCATTTTGATGTTGAACACTTTGTCGTAGAACATGGGTATCTATCTTAACGTCATTATTCAATACAACACCTTGGCCTTTCGCTGCAAATGCTGGCCGTACCTTATTTTGATTTAATTGCTTGTTAATTTTAAACAGGTCATTAAGATACTGCCGGTCGGGAATGTCATTAATATTGCGTATAATATCAATTTTTCCTTCAGTACTACCACGTATTCGAGCGGTTTCCTTAGAAAGTTTGTTAAACATTTTCCTGAAATTTTTATAAAAATGATTAAAAAATGAATGAGTGTGTTCATTAATTAACTAAAATATGTTATTTTGTTTGGGTTAAATGTCCAGCACACTTATATTCTAATATGTTCTAATATATGGCATAAAAAATTCGTCGATTGCCAAAATGCGATTGATTGTGTGATGCACAAGCGTTTTGAAGGGTAATCAATAATCCGCTTTTAATAACATTCTAATTAATCATTTTCGATTTGACCAGTTGGCAATGTGCTAATTTAATGCTTTACAGCTGCGACATCTGTAGACAACACAGTTGCCACCGTTGTTAATATGCGCATTATTATTTGCCTAATAAATTAAACGCCCTTAATTTACACTAAAGTACCACTATAGAAGCGCAAACCTGAACCCAAACGAATTACCCGCGCAAGTTCGTGACAGTTAATCTCCCTGCAGATATGCGATAGTAAGCTAAAATAACCTAAGTTTAAAGCAAAGGGAGCAAATTTGAGTATCGCGCATAATCACTCATGCGGTGGGGAGCAGCTTCAAAATATAATAAAGTGTAAACTATTCTTATGCCCGAAGTGGATATTTACCTGTTTATGCGGTAATAATAACATGGATGATCACATTTAATAGAAGATAGAATTAATATTGTTACGGCAATTCCAAATCCAGTTCATTTTAACTAATTGACTTTCCCAAAAAAATAAATTGCCTAGAAAGGGAAAACCCAAGTGAACATTCGCGGCGCGTCCGCCAGATGCCGGTGGAGGAAAACGATTAGCGGAAAAGCAGGTTAACGGATTAAAAACGAAGCCATGAACTTAGGTAATAGTAATATGTTTGTAAAAATGTATGTAAGTAGACTATTTGCGGAAGGCAGAGTCAATCGGAAAAGAACATTTGAGACGAAAAAGAATATTCGAGTTAAGAAGTCGAGAGTATTGCCAAAGTAAAATGTAAATTGTCCTACCTTAACAAATTGACTGCAAATAAAAGAGTTTTGTAGTGAAAACGTGCAAGTGTATTTCTGCTAAAAAGGATATGCACGATCTGCACGAGTTATAATAAAGAACAAAACATATAATAAAGTCGATATATTAGCACGTTTGCATATTTACACCAAATAGTGGTAAGATTGCAGAAGACGGTATTGAGTATTGATTATCATATGAATATAATGTGAATAAGAGAACAGATTATATGCTTTATGAAGAATTACACTATTTCTATCCGCCTGAGTAGCCGAAGGGGAAGAATCTCGATTAGCAAGGCAATGGTCGTGGGTTCGAATCTCAAGTGCGGTAGAGTTTTTAATAAAAGCCGATAGCCTTAGATGCCAGTGCTTGTAAGAGAGTTTAGTCTTAGAATTTATTTCTGTGGCGAAATTAATAATAATAATAATAATAATAATAAATACACTATTTCTAGGCAGATAGTTTGCCTTCCAACATATAGCATTAGACGACCATCATGCATGACATATTGTCTGCTGGCGCATACCCACTAGGAACATTTCTAACTGTATGTAAAAATTCAATGCGAATCCATACGAGTATCTGCGGACTTTTTGTTTCTCTTATGAATAACGAGGAGCAGTTTGATTGCTTGTTCTTTCATTCCCATTCTTTATATCGGGAAAGTTCTGCCTGCAAAGCAGAAGGTGTACAACTTTGCGATTGCAAGTGAGTATGCGTTGTGGTACATATAGAAGTGTGTATGCACAAAAATACAATAATAGTATATATGTACGCGGCTAAACTATTAATGAAAGCAACCAAGCATATCCCCATACGATAATTTCGCTTCGGTTCATTTGTGATAACATGGATGGTGGACGTGTTGAGATGTATATAAAAGAAGGTTCAAAGGGCAGAATATTGTTAATGTTTAGCAATAATAGTGTGGTAGAGTTGCTCGGAGTTGAGGGTTACTATTGCTGGTTTGGGAGCGATTAGGTGTTAACTTTGCCAGATAGGCAGCTTTCTCAGAGCGTTTGAAGAAAGTTTCGGAATATCCCAAAAAAAAGTCTTTTAGATAGAAAGGAGAAAAACTTAATGTGGCTTCGCCCCTTAAGGCAAACTAATACTAGTGCTGTTTTTTTTTAAATTCCACGGCCAACATAAATTGGACCAAATGTGATAAATTTGTTTCCCCAGGGCGCTGCAAATCTGTAACCAACGTTCAGTAAGAACGACGTGCATTCACTTGCAAGCTTTGTTCATTGGGGGTGTACTATGAAATTTACCGTAGCTGCTGACTCTATACGATTCAGATTTGTTCATAATGTTGCTTGCATACATTTGTATAGCTTTACTAATAGTGCCATAAGTTTAATAATGTATATAATAAGTACACAAGCAATAAACATGTATATGCCTATTGTAGATAAGGTGAATAACATGAAATACATATGAGTTGCGATTATAAGATGACCAAGTAAATATACATGGATGACAAAGCGAGCTGTCGCCGACTAAATACTTCGCAAAGTTTTAAACTGCAAGCTGTCTGATATTTTTAGAGACTTTGAAACTTTTTTTAGGAAAGTTTGAAAGCTGACTTTATTTGTTTTCTGTGGACTGTCTTTCTACTATTTGTTCCGAAATAGACGAACAGATCTATATTTAAGATATCGGACTCGAAACAATACCCGATACGGTCTGTTCTATACTAATGACACAGATAATGAACCGCCAACTGGTCGGAATCAAAAAAGCTTGTGCTTAGATTATAAATATGTAGGCAATACATACGGTATTTTTATAATTATAGGTACTGAACTCAACATTCTAGTTGCATATCTAGGCTTTTTTAACTGATTACAATAAAATTTTTTTATTACCTTTGACGATTGCTAAGTGCGTCACTGTACTTTTTAATATGACTGTTACGAGCGTTGTCCACGATGCTAGAAGCCATCTGAAAATTATAAACAGAATGTGTAAACAGCACCAAAGAGCCTGCCAATTGCACGACATCCAACGTTGAGATATCATCACCATCGTCGCTTTTCTACAAATATGAAAAAGATTCCTAGCTCTCTTAAATGTGTTGTTTTCACTATGCTTACCAAAATTAAATCCAATATTCCTACTCCCAGACCACTTCCTGACAATACAATTGACGTAACATTCATACTATTAACGAAAAATTCCATGCCCTTTTTTTGCGGATAAAAGACACAGTGCTATCAAATGGTTTAAATAAATCATTTTAACAACTTACAGTTGTGGCTTTGCCAGCTGTTGCCATTCTTGTCATATATTTTGTAGCTCCCAATGATGTTGGCCCAACTACTCCGGACGCAACACCAAGCCAGCTACCACGAGCGTCCCGATCTGTTATGTCTATAGATTGTTGGTGATCATTTCGATCGATTAAATTTTTAGCAGAAAAAACGGCTGACATTGTTCCCGTCACAAGGCCGACAACAGTGGATAAAGCGACGACTGGTGCGGCTATTGGAAAAACTGCAGCTGCTAGCGGAACACACGCAGCTCCAAAACCCACAGCAGATAGACGATTTTGAGTTTTTCGCAAAGATTTGGCTTCTGGTCTCCCATTTGGAGTGGTATAACTTGTTAATATAACCTGACCATTTGCAAAGTTATATACACCACGTTTTGGTGCCACCATGATTCCCGGTGGTAAAACATTCTCATTAATATAAGATGCCCAGTTTTGATAAACACGTCCAATTTCATCAACGTAAATCATACAACAACCTGTACTATCACCTTCCGCTGGAAAGGAAAGAATGATCAGTTGTTTCTCAATCACTTTAAGCACACTAAATAGCGCGCACCAACACATTTTCGTATTCGAAATACGGGATGAATGGAAAACTCTGTTGCTTTCTCTGGTTCTTCGTCGTTTGTAACAGCCACATAGAGTATGGAAGCAAATAAAGAACCGTAATGATATTTTCCTACAGGTATTTTTGACTGTTAAATAAAATACAAAATATAAATAATATTAAAACGTCCTTACTTTGTTTCCAAACGTTTTTAAATAGATTATCACGCATTCTTATAACTAACTGCTGGCCTTTTGATTGATCTGGCAGAAGTGCTTCGATTTTTTTCTCTAAAACGTTACTTTGGTTGGCTGAATAGCTAACGTGGCAATATATATTTAGTTTAGAATATAAATGTTTGCAATTAATAGTCGATAGTACATATGCGTAGCAGTCTAACTTACAAATCCCAAATGATTTGGTCGCGAAAACCAAGACTCAAAGCAAGTTCCTGTTGTGCTTCTCTGATAGTTTTCCTCTTAGACTGAGACATTTTCGTAGCTCTCGAAGGTTTCGATTTAATTTAATAGCAGTAACGAGATATCATTGATTTAATCAACAATTTACTTATGTACATATATGTGGGTTACGTAATGCGTTGTATGTTATAAATGAACTATTTACTAGAAATGGGGAAACACCGTGTTAATAAAAAAAAAACACTTTCAATAAATACATTTAAGGGATGAGAAACTGAGAGTATTGTTATCGATAGTTTGGGCTTTCAGAAATGAAGCGGTAATCATGTAAGCAGGCGATCATCGGCGTGATTATCTCCTTGCGTTTTTGCGAGAGAATTGATTATCGCCAAGAGGCTAATTAGGCACCATCGTCAGCAGCTTTCCAATACATTTCCTTAAATTTTCCATGACAATTAACTAATAACTGAGAGAAACGTAAAAAATGAGAGCCAAATTGAGTTTTATTTATCATACATATGGTAAACAATAACAAGCATGCAAAATAAAATGAATTATATAGTTAGGCTAAATTTAACTTAACTAAGCTCGATATTTAAAAAAAATTGTACTCACTTTCAATATTTCTTTTTCTTCACAATTCGCAAATGTAATTTCAGACACACTTCATTTTTTTTTTTTTTAAATTTTTGAATTAATAGTTCATTGTCTAATAATTGTTTATATTCTTCTTTTGCAGCTGCTTTTTTGCAAACTCAAGTCTAAAAGCAAATTTGCGGTAACTTAACTTAGTTTATACTTAATGTTAATGCGAATTTGTTCTCAGCGACAGCAATTTTGTTGTCGCCAGATTTGACGTAACTGAGAGAGCGGATTTGGCGATAATCGTCAGCAAATTTGCCAATATGATTAGATTCTCTTTGCCATCACGCCTACTTAATTGCCTCCTGTTTAAATGGTGACCCCTAAAGTTATCGATAAAACTTTTTTTATATTGATTTGATAAAAAGATCAATTGATTGCAAAAACAAATACATGTAATAATTTTTTGGTTAATAAATAATTGCGTACAAGGGAAAATAATGAAAAATTCTTGAAAATATGTCAAGCCTATTTGTAAAAAAGAAAAAGAATATCCCGAGGGAGGAAATATTACTAATGTAAGATATGTTTATAAGTAACGAGTTGCTTTAAAAAAATACTTAAAAATGTCGCCACTCCAGCAATTGCCTGCAGGTTGATTAGCCACTATTAAGTTTGAGAAAAAAATTTTTTTTCTTAGGATATTTGATTGAAAAGATTAAAGCGTACATAAAGGATGACGCGATTCTCTATGTTCCACACCTTCCCTTACGCCCCATAATCATCGAAATATTTTGATATGGCAATTTATTGAACCCGTCAGGTATATCGCCAAGCATTTGATTAGAAAGTGGTGGCTCACCACTTACAGCATAGATGCTTGAGCAGCCCACATAGCAATTGGCAGGAACGGTAGTTGAACGAAGAATACTTACTTTTAAAACGCTAGGGAGATAATGCTTTGTGAACGATTCACTTTTTTGCATCCAAACCACGTTGGTCCTGCCTGATTGGCACTTTCGTAAAGATTACCATCGCGACCTCCAAGAAATATCCGGCCACCGTCTGTACAACATTAATGGCAACATTATTAGTGCCTAGTACAAATAACGGTTTATTAATCAATTGCATTTCTTGGAAAGTGGTTCTGAGCAAGAATTTGTGTAAAAATTTTCTGTTATAGCGATATCACAGGAAATAGCGGAAAAACTTTCAATGCTTGATCATGGTTCAAAATAGTATCTCTTAAGGGAAAAAAATTCGATAAATATTTTTTAGTTACAGACAAATAAAAAATTCAGCGAAATATACTCACTCTCTAAGGGGTTCATCTTCACAGAAATCATACTTAATAGCAACACTAGCCCTTGCTCGATGTTTTCAGCCGAATGCAAGTTTAGGAATACGGCTGCTTCCAATTGTAATGCAGATTTTCGGCGAAGTAATTATACCTTTGTACTTTCTGATAATTTTGTCCGCAAACAGAAAGCGAGCATTTATGATTTTCAATAATTTGTATAAAAATTCCAAACATGTGAGAATAAGCGTATATGTTTGTTTACACTTCTCAATAATTGAACATGTGTTTGTTTAAACTACGGGTAACTGACTCGAATAAAACAAGATCATTTAATGTATAATATTATATATTCTTTGCTGAGGGGTATATTCAATTTGCCAAACGTTTGCAACGCCCAAAAATAAAATTTTTTAGATGTGCCACTACAAATTATCTATTGCTATATTATATCGTCGTTTAAGCGTTAACACTCAACTTTTGGCTCGAGTTGACATGCTAATGAAAGTAAGAAAAAAGGTTTTTAAACCGCCACCCAAAGTTGAATCGCGTGTAGTATGTTTAGAGCCACAAAATCCACCGCCACCAGTAAATTTTACAGAGTGGGATGGTTTAACACGCGTAGCCTTTCTGCGTGAGAATAAAACTCTAGCGGCCGCCTTTCAAAATAATTCAGTTATGTAAATGTTGGAAAGAAATCACATGTTGCGTTTACAGCTGAGGAATACGCCTCATTGGCAGCATCTGGAGCATATGTGTGGACATATAAAAGGCAGCATGTTCGCTAATTCCACCATCACGTATGCCTTTAAATTTTTTACCGTTTTTACCACTCACTTTCAAAATTCATGGCTGAGCTTTTGGTCTACATTATATCACAATTATTCCGAATTTCTTGCGCCTAACTTCTTCAAGAAAGTTCCGATTATATTCCGATCCTGCACCGAATTTTGGCATAGCTTCTTCCATACCTTTAAATTATTTTCCCGTTCCAATTTTACTGTTCGCCATTGTGCGAAGTCGACGTGGCATTAAAAGGCATATGATGCTTTTTTCGCAAGTACATTAGCCGTTTCCGAGCTGTCAGCAGTGCTACCGCTGGTTTAAACCTTTCAAGAAAAAAGCCGTTACGTATTTTTTTACATTTCTTTATTTAGAGACGCAAGTGGGATTTTTTAGAACTATTGATTTGTGTGTGATTAGTAGATTATTGAATGAAAATATTCAATTTTGAAGCGGGAAAATTCATCTGTATATAGATTAACCTACCGAAAAAATCGAACGTAGTTTTCTAGAAAACATTGTTTTAAGAAGACTGAAACACTTTCGAGTGAAAACAAGTAAGAAAATAATAGACAAAACATCGACAAAAAAAGGAAAGAACTAAGCTTTCTTACTTTACAATGTTTTCAGAATAAAAGTAGAAATTATATATGAATATTTGAAAAAAGGAGAAGAGGTTTAATAAAGTAATAAAATAACCAAAGAAAACAATTTTAAAGGAAGAAAAGGAGAAAAGGAAGAGGATCTCTCATGAGTTAAAAATTAAGAAGCAATACATATATTCAATTTTTTGTTTTTTCGTTGTGATTTTTTCTTTTTTTTTGTGTTCCCCGTGATAACAACTAAAACAACATCAGCCCGTCTCCGTATGGAGACTGGGTCTAATCTTATAACTACTGATGGAGACTGTTTTGAAGATTTTTACATGAACGCCACTGGGCAAGAGATCGAGAATGGGTGAGAATAATATTCTTTTTTCTGCTAACGGAGAAGCTAACGCAAACGTTTTAATTGCGCCTAGTAAACAGGCTATCGACAAGCCCTCTGATTTGGGTGCCACAACCGCCCCAGATCTCGAGATCAATTTGTACGATTGCCTTTCGAACTGCAATTTCGTCGTTTTTGTCGAAACGTGCGCAGACGAAGAAGGGAATCGAATCAATATTAACTCCAATTTCTATTTTTATGATTACTTGAAGGATTTCAATATGTACGGCTTAAAAAAATTGGAAGTTGTCAGCAGGGGCAGAGCCAAACTGCCTTTCAGCCCTGCTGCCAATGCCAACAATTTTGTTATGAATAATGAATTTACTAAAAAGAATTTAAAGGCGTACATACCGAGGACTTTCACTGAGAGATTTGGAGTCATTGGAAACATCCCATGTACATATAGTGTCGATGATATAATTAAAAACGCCATATCCGATATTCCCATTAAGTCCGCTGTCCGTTTTCAAAGAAGAAATCCCAACAACAAAGACGAGTGGATTCCCACAACCAGCATCAAAATTGGCTTCAAAGGGAGAGCCCTCCCTAAGTCAATAAAATTTAACTATTGTAATCTGCCGGTCGAATACTTTGTACCCACTTTAAAGCAGTGCTTTAAGTGTGGCAGATACGGTCACGTATCTAAATTCTGCAAAGCTAAGTAGAGCAGGTGCCTTAACTGTGGAAATTCTCCGAAGTGTGTAAATTGTGAGGCCATGAAGTGCTTGTCCTGTGGCTCAGGTGAGCACAACGCTCTCAACAAGTGTTGCCGTAATAGGGAAATTGAATCAAACATCAACAGGATAATGGCGATTAAAAATCTTTCGTATAAAGAGGTCAAAGAGAATTTTTCCGCAAATTATTTCGAATGTCTCGATGACATCACTTATGACGACAATTTCCCTCCACTGGGGAACATGCCTGCATTTCGACCAAGGATGATAATCAAAACGCCAACAAAATCTTAATCAAAAATAAATATAATGCTGTCGTCAAAAGGAAATCGGTTCCATCCAAATCTCCTCTCAGTTCACCCACCAAGCCTTCTACCAATACATCCCCCAAGTCGTCTGGAACAAGCCTTCTTGGACCGAAAATTTCAAACAACTATTTGCGGTCTTCAGAACTTGAAAGATTAATTCTCGCGATTCAAGAAAGTATCCGTCCGATGATCCCTCACAATCTTATTAAAGAATTTGAAGAAAAAATGTCTGTCGAGGAAATCCGCTGGGGTTCTTTCTAAAGTTTCAACATGATATCCTTTTTACAATATAATATTCAATGTGTCCGACGAAACCTATCTTTTCTGGATTTTTACTTAAACTCAAACAAGATTGATTTCTGCATCTTAAGTGAAGGTTTTCTGAAAGATGAAAATTGTTTCGAAGTTAAAGTTTCGAATTATGCCTCAGCCATCAAATGCCAAAATGATGGCTATGGCTGTGTTAGTATATTAGTTAAGAAAGGTGTGAATTTCAGACGTGTTCCCTATAACTCTGCTGTTGACATTATCATCATCAAAACCA